GACTATGACTAGTAATAATCAGATATATAGAGATTAGAAATGCATGTGCAAACATCTTAGTGTTAATTGCATTAAAAACGAATTTTTCTATATGAAACTGTGTATTTTAATAAGGAAATGGAGTTTTTTTCTTTTTTTCTGTTTTGAGACAGGGTCTTTCTAGCCCTAGCTGTCTTGGAACTCACTATGTAGACCAGGCTGGCCTTGAACTCACAGAGATATCCGCCTGCCTCTGTCTCCCGAGTGCTGGGATTAAAGGTGTGCACCATCTCGTCAAGCTCCAGGAAATGGAGATTTTTTTAAAGGTTAAAACCTCATTTAATTTTATGTCTTACAGGGTTTATACTGAGCACAATATTATATAACTGCATTAATTCAATTGTAAAGTTAAAAATTTACAGCCAATTTTGAAAGAGATGCTTCTTAGCTCTGGAAATTGTTACTGAACATGTCAATGCGGTTGTAATGAAATGCTTTTTCTAATTATGTGTTTATTAAATAATTAAAAAAATAATAAAATATTTTTTAAAAAATTGGAAGAATAGCCAGGTGTGGTGGTGTACGCCTTTAATCCCAGCACTCTGAGGCTGAGGCAGATGGAGGAGATAGAGACCAGCCTGGTTTGCATAGCAAGTTCCAGGCCAGCTGGTGCTGCAGGGAGACCCTGTGTGAAAACAGTGAGAATAAGGAGAGTAGTGAATGGGAAGTGATGGCTGAGTGCTTCAAGGTTTGTCTTAGGGGATAAGTCAGCTTTCCATTTCCATGACAGATAGCTAGGAAACATGCTTAGGAGGAGTAAAGGTTTACTAGGCCCACTGTTTTGGAATGGTCAGACCCTGGTCACTTGGCTCCACTACTATGGTGGAGGTGAGGCCAAGTATTAAAGCAGATTACCTGTCATCTGGGTAGTAAAGGGAGGGGAAGGGCCAGGATCCCAGCAGCATCCCTTTCAAGCCACACCCCAATGATTTCCTTCCTCTAACTAGACCCTGCTTCCAAAGTTCCTACCATCTCCCAATAATAGCACCACCAGCTGGGGAACAAGCCTTTAACACATAAGCCTTTTGGGCACATTCCATATTCAAATTGGAACAATATGTGGAATTTAGTGGACGTAATTGCACAGTGTTATAAATATACTAAAAACGGTTGATTTTGTTTAACATGCACGTGTGTGGTGGTGTATGTGTAGGTGCAGGTGTAGGTGTGTGCATGTACTCATGGAGGCCACAGGAGGATGTTGGGAGTTCTGTCTTTATTACCTGTTATGTTACCTTTAGTACTTGATTTCAACAGCTTTCATGCTTGCTGTTGCTGTAAATTGAAGCTGTCATTCATCTTTGTGCACCAGATCTCTTCTGATCCCTTATTTCCTTACTGTGTCACGTGTAGTACGAGCTTCTGTATTGGGCTGAATTCTGCCTTATATACCTTTGACAAAAATTTAAACATTTTCCATGTAATTTTACTTACAGAATAATCACAGTTCCGATAAAATAAATGCCTCAGTTTATAGTTATGAATTACATGTGCAACACTAACTTGTGCTATCTCCATAAAATACTGACATAAACAATTGTGATATTACATTTGAGCATAGAAAATTGTCATCTGATGTCAGGTGTGGTGGTGCACATCTTCAGTCCCAGCAGCACTCGGGAGGCAGAGGCATGCAATCTCTGTTTGAGGCCAGCCATGACTACATAATGAGAACCTGTCTCAGAAAACCAGAAAGAAAATTTTCATCTTAGCTGAATCTGTTGGTACAAACTAGATTGCTGAAGTATTTGTCACTGAAAAAAAATGCATGTTCCTTAACAGTGCAAGAGCTTGCAGTGTGGTGTAGTAAAGTGAGTTATTCTATTAAAACAATAAAGCTGTGTCTTACAAAAAAGTTACTTAGCCAGGCATGGTGGTGCACGCCTTTAATTTTAACCCAGTGCTAGGGAGGCAGAGGCAGGCGGATCTCTGTGATTCAAGGCCAGCCTGGTCTACATAATGAGTTCCAGGACAGCTGGGGCTACAGGGAGACCCTGTCTCAAAAACAACAAAAAAATTTACTTAGAGGGCTGTTTAATTGGTAACAGGATGGCAGGGGTGATACCAAGGGATGTTTTCTAGGATGCAGGAAGGTAGTGGACCCTGGAGATGTTTGTGAAGGGAAGGAGGCTTATGGATGGCTGGGTAAAATATAAGCTAGTTCACTAGGAATCAGTGTGTCTGGAATATTGTTTCTGAGTCTTTAATAACTAATCTCTAGTTTCTTCAATTGTACAGAGGGTTCGATTAGATAATGTGGTGTTCTTCTAGCCCCTAAATATTGTTTTCGTAGAGGTTCATTGTTGGGAATAGAATTGGGAGACTAGTTATATGTCTTCTAGAAGCCTGATATTATAGTTCATGGGATAATTAACCTTTATTCATTGGTATGATACTGTATTTCATAGTTATTCTGAAATTGGAAAGGACTTTTAGAATGTGTTCATGCTTTTAGAATAAGATTTTGACTTTCATCTTCATTGGATTGAAAAGAGTGTAGGAGATTAGTAAAGTGTAAGTAAGGTATGTCCGAGGGGCATTTCCAGAGATTTAAATTAATGAGAGCCCTTGTCTTGGTTTGCTTTCTATTGCTGTGATTGCTGGGCATTGTGGTACATGCCTTTAAACCCAGCACTCAGGAGGCAGAGGCAGGCTGATCTCTGTGATTTCATAGCTAGTCCCAGGCCAGCTATGGGGCTATATGGAGACCCTGGACCCTGTCTCAAAAAAACAAAAACCAAAACCAAAAACCTAACCAAAATCAACTTGGGGAGAAAAGGGTTTATAATACATGATCAAGGGCAGAAACTCCAGGCAGGAACCTAGGGGTAGGAGCTGCAGCAGAGAACATGGAAGAACTCTAGAACACTGCTTACTGGCTTGCTCCTCTAGCCTGCTTGCTTGCTTGCTTGCTTTTTTTTTTTGTCTTTTTGAGACAGGGTCTTCCTATAGCCCCAGTTGACCTGGAACTCACCATGTAGACTGTAGACCAGACTGAACTGACAGATTGGTCTGCCTCTGCCTCCTAGTGCTGGGATCAAGTGTGCCACCATGCCCAGCTCCAGCCTGCTTTCTTATACAACCAGGACCACCTGCTTAGGTGGCCCACATTGGGCTGGGCCCTCCTTCATCACTCAGCAATCAGGAAGATATCTCACAGACATGCCCACAGATGTCAGTCCCATAGAGGAACTTCCCCAATTGATGATCCGTCTTCCCAGGCGTGTCAGGTTGACAACTGAAACTACCCAGCACAACCCTTTCATATTAAATGGTTTAATACCCTGATGGATACAAAATTTGAATAGAGTATAGAGAGGTGGTGGAAATTGGAAGGTTGGACTTGGTTAGAAGAAGCGGGTCACTGAATTTTGTCTCTGAAAGGCATCTTGCTTGACCCCTTCCTGCCTTTGCTATGATTCCTGACTGCTATGAGTCAAAGATCCGTCTCTTCCTATGGGCTAAAATCTCTGAATTGAGCCAAAAGAAACCCCTTTTAACATTGATTCTGTCAGGTATTTAATAAATGTACATAATGTAAGCGATACAGCTTTTTCTTAATACATTTAAAATTTTTTTCTTTTCTAGTGTCCTGCTATAGATTATACAAGACACACACTTGATGGTGCTGCGTGTCTTCTGAATAGCAATAAATATTTTCCAAGCAGGTAAGCAAAACTTATAAATATGGTATTAAACTTTTTGGGTTTCATTTAAAAGACTGATACTTTAAAATTAAAACTAGGTTTTTGATTTTATTTTGGTTTTGGTTTTTGAGATGGGGGCTCTTTATGTAGCTGTGGCTGTCCTGGAACTTAGAGTATAGAATAGGTTGGCCTTGAACTCACAGAAATCTGCCTGCCTTAAGCCTCCCAAGTGCTGGGATTAAAGATATGCATCCCGCATTCAGTAATATTTTTTTTAAGTGTTGGCTTCTTTGAATTATTCAGGTTTGAGATTAAGGTGATGGTTAAGCAGCAGAACTTGTCTCCCAAAGCTCATAGACCAGTTCAGACCAGTGTTGTCCCTTCTCCAGAGCTCACTTAAATCTTAAATGGTCAGAGTTAGTTTCCCCAGATGGGATAAACTGCAGACTTCTCAAGTTGGATTACTTGATTTTGAAGGGCTCCTTACTCTTGCTTGTGGATAGATTTTAAAATTAGCATATATTAATTTTACATAGTAATGGGTTTCATTATGACATATTTCTACATAATGCATTCCATACATATACACCATGTGTTTTGATATTTACTTCTTCCCCTTCTCTTAGTCCCCTTCCACTCCCTCTTCCTAAGTAGTACCCTTTCTATTTGTGTGTGTGTTATTTTTCTTTTTCCTTTTTTGAAATCTTTTTTAAATTTTTTTATTTTTATTTTATGTGTATGCATGTACTGCATGCATGCATGTATGTGCACCTGTGTCATGCAATGCCCGAGGAGGACAGAAGAGGTCGTTGGATCCCCTGGAACTGGAGTTATAGACAGTTGTTAGCTGCCATGTGGGTGCTGGGATTTGAGCTCGGGTCTTCTGCAAGAACAGCCAGTGTTCTTAACCACTGAGCCGTCTCTCCAACCCTTTTTTTTTTTAATTTATTATTTTTATTTTATGTGTATGAGTGTATTGCCTGCATGTATGTGAGTGCACCCGTGTCATGCAATGCCGCAGAGGTCAGAAGAGGGCTTTGGATTCCCTTGGAACTGGAGTTAAGGACGGTTCATAGCTGCCATTTGAGTGCTGGGAATTGAACCTGGGTCCTCTGCAAGAGCAGTCAGTGCTCTTAACCACTGAGCCATCTCTTCAGACCCCAGCCCTTTTCTTTAATCTTTTGAGACAGGATCTCCCTGTAGCCCAAACTGGCTTGGGACTCACTATGTAGACCAGGCTGGCCTTGAACTCACAGAGATCTGCCTGCCTGCCTCTCTTGGCTTCCTGAGTGCTGGGATTAATAGCGTACACTGCCACGCCCAGCTTATTTTTCTTTCATATAGATATGCATTTGCCCTGCATCTATGTAAGCTCACGCATGTTGTATAGTCCCTTTTTGGAGGTCAGAAGAGGGTGTAAGATCCACTGGAACTGGAGTTACAGATGATTGTTAGCTACCATGTGGGTGCTGGGACGTGAATGCTGGTCCTGTATAAGAGCAGCCAGTACTCTTGACCACTGAGTCATCTCATCAGTTCCTTGTTTTGTTTCATTTTGTTTTTGTTTTTGAGACAGGGTCTTCTTGTAGCCCCAGCTGACCTGGGACTTGCTATGTTGACTAGACTGGCCTCTGTGTCACAGACATCCACCTGCTTCCACCTCCTGAGTGCTGGGATTAAAGGCATGCACCACCATGCCTGGCTCCCCTCCCCCCCTTTTTTAATTAGCAAAAATTTATTTTATGTGTAGAGTTTATTGCCTACATGCAAGTGCACCTGTGTTGTGCAGTACCCGAGGAGGTCAGAAGAGGGCATTGGATCCCCTGGAACTGGAGTTAGGGATAGTTGTTAGCCACCATGTGGGTGCTTGGAATTGAACCCAGGTCTTCTGTAAGAGTAGTCAGTGCTCTTAACTGCTGGGCCATCTCTCCAGCCCCCTTGTTTTATTTTTAAAAAGAGAGACAGTGGCCGGGCGTGGTGGCTGGAGCCTTTAATCCCAGTACTTGGGAGGCAAAGGCAAGCAGATCTGTGTGAGTTTGAGGCCAGCCTGGTCTACATAGCGAATTCCAGGCCAGCTGGGGCGACAGGAAGACCCTGTCTCAAAGAAAACAAACAAAACAAAAAACAGAAAAACAAAGTGGGAAAAACAAAACAGAAAATACTTATTTTTCCCCTTAGTATCACACACAAATACGTTTCTAAAAAAGAATCAGAAATATGCATATTTTAACTTTTAAAAAAAATTTATTATTTTTTATTTTATGTGTATGCATGTATTGCCTGCATGTAGGTAAGTGTCCTTGTGTCCGTGCAATGCCTGCAGAGGACAGAAGAGGCTGTTGGATCCTCTGGAACTGGAGTTATGGACAGTTGTTAGCTGCCATGTGGGTGCTGGGATTTGAACCTGGGTCTTCTGCAAGAACAGTCAGTGTTCTTTTAACCGCTGAGCCATCTTTCCAGGCCCTTAACTTTTAAAAAGCAAAAGACACAAAATCAGATTCTATAGACTAAAATAATTATACCTTTAAGCAGCTTTAATCACCTGCAGTGGGCAAGATACTAACGTTGGAAAATGTTTTTGGAAGTTTGGCTGTTTCTTGGTAAGTTTTGAGTTGATAGGGATTCATTTTAACTACATTACACTTTAACAGTTTCAGAAGTACAATATTGCATTTAACTAAGGTGCTGTGGCTGTGTAGAAAGCGATCTGGCTCAGGACTAAGGAGCTGCCCCCTCCTAGCTTTTCCGCACTGTAACTTCTTTCCACACTATAAATTGAGAAGATTGAACTGTAGTATTCCTAACATTTTGTGCAGCCAATGAATTTCTGATTTCTTTTCTCTTTTTAGGGTTAGCATAAAAGAATCATCTGTAGCAAAACTAGGATCCGTATGCCGTAGAATTTATAGAATATTTTCACATGCTTATTTTCATCACCGACAAATATTTGATGAATATGAAGTAAGTATATTTCAGTAATTATCCTGATAGTCTTGTCAACACAACTATGTATGTTGATACTATTTCTCTTTTTGGTTTTTGGATGATAAAATGACCTTTATTTTCTTTGTTTCTACAGAATGAAACATTTTTATGTCATCGGTTTACTAAATTTGTGATGAAATATAATTTGATGTCGAAGGATAACCTGATTGTACCAATTTTAGAAGAAGAAGTTCAGAATTCAGTTTCTGGGGAAAGTGAAGCATGAAGGGAATCAGAAAATGTACTGATCGCATAATTAACATGATTACGTACTGTATATATCATTTTAGACACATCAATCATGTATCCATATTACAGCTTATTTGTTTAGTAAAGGTTTTTGTATGCTATATGTTGCCTTTTAAAATGGGAAATACTTTTTAAGTTATTCATGAGCTGTATATTCACTGGTGTGGCACTCATGGTTTTTAAATGAGATTAGTATTATATGTTTATAATGCCTGTTTAATAAAAGAATTTACAGTTTGGTAAAATTGCTGCTAAACAATCATTGGATCACAATCCTTTCAGATCTATGAGAGTGAGCTCAAGATTTCACACAAGCCATTTTACTAAAGAGATAGTAATATTTTCTTTGGTTTTAGCCCTGAGTTTGATATTCTAGAAAATTCAGTAGTGCATCATTTCACCTCCACTGTTAACTTTTCCAAAATGAGCTAAAAGTATTTTAAAATTCTGTTTATAATTTTTGATATACATAACCAATATGTGTATATCCACATACAAATGGAATGAGGCATTAGTAATACTTAAATAATCTTACTGTGCTTCATAAAGTATATCCTAGGTCAGCAAAGAATTTGCCTTTTTTTGTAACAGTGGATTATTAGATACATGATGCTAATGATAAGGCACGTACATGAGGCTCCCATGGACATCTGCCCCTTCTCATTACCCTTAATCCTATCCCTAAAGCACATTAGCTGAGAAGTTTAGTTACCAAACCATGACTTAGTGGTGGCTTATCCCTATTTATATTTGCATTAATTGCTTACAGATTATACCTCATACTAGCAATTACACTACAGGAAAATTGTATTCGTATAGGTTCTAGCCCATCTTTGTTTTGGGAAATTGTTATAACTACTTAGAAAATAGTCCTTAATATAGTTTGACTCTTCTGTTAGTAATAATCTTTTCATCTAACTGTAGGCAGCATTAAATAGATATGAAAGAATAGTATATTTATCTCCCTCCCCAAAAGTTTGTTTGAATTATATACACATATATTATTTACAGTAATTTACATTTCTAGTGGTGTTGAGGAATAGTCATACATTTTTTTATTTCTTAATTCCATGTCTTAAGAATTTAAGTACAAATTTATAATGTATTTGGTGAAGTTTTTTATAAAATGCTAGAGGTCTTGATGCCAAACTTGTAATGAAGAACTAAGATAAGGTGGAAAATTTGTACATGTAGTTCAGACCATTTTAAAACCATCTCTTTACCATATTTAACAAACACAAGGGACTTCTTTTTAATTTAAGAGTTATTTTCAGATGAAATTGAAAATGCATTCATCTTGTCTTTCCAATTATTTGAAGAAATCATTTGTATTATGAGACAAGTATGTACAGAAAATGTGAGAAGCTGTAGCGTAATGGGAGTGTGTGTGTATAGTTGATGCCTTTTCAAGCCTACCCATCTTCTTGGTTTTGAACAATGCTGTGCCAGCAGCCAGTCATTGCTGTACCGCAGCACACAGCTGTCTTTAAGAAGTTTATGTGTACAGTGAATAGAATGTTGACTGAAGTTAAAAATTTATATTAATGTTACCATAAGCCAAGGGGGTTAGTAATTTTTAAACAAACTTGCTAAGTATTGAGAGACTAACCTACTAAGTTCATAAATCATACATAGCAATGTAGCTGTTCTCTCTAGGTGGTATCTCACAATGGATTTCTGTCACTTAACTGTTAGTGAATATTTGAATTAAGGTAGTGACTGGATTGGCATTCTGGCTAAGTATTTTGAAACACATTGTGAATATATGGCTTAGTGTTAACAGGAAAATAAAGTATGATTTTCTTTTTCTTACTCATTCCATCCTCCCTCTACTGTCTGTTTGGTCTTGATTATAAAAGAAAAAAAAAAAATCTCCAAAAGAAAGCAATCAGTTTGTAGTCTTGCTTTTGTGTTCACCCTGACATCTCACTAACTCACTGCACTGTGAAATTGATTCATTGTACTAAGATCTTGATGAAGCAGTTTCTGTTTAGTACCATTCATAGAATTTTGAGAATGCACATACACATAAGTAATATTAAAAGAAGCAACTGGGAGTGGTAGAGTGCATCTGTTACCCCAACACTTGGGTAGTTGAAGCAGGCGGATGGAGAGTTCAAGTTTGTCCTTGACTACTTAGTTTGAAGCTAGCCTGGGTTACATAAGATCTTGCCTCAATAGGGCTGGTGAGATGGCCCAGTGGATAAAGTGCTTGCTACCAAGTTGACAACCTGAATTCTATCCCCAGAACCTTCATGGTGGAAGGAAAGAACCAACACCTGTAAACTGTCCTTTGATCTGCACACATGCATGTCCCCACTGCCACCCCCAAAATAAGTACATGTAAATACTGTTGTTTTTTTTTTGTCTTTTTGAGACAGGGTCTCCCTGTAGCCCCCAGCTGTCCTGGAACTCACTATGTAGATCAGGTTGGCCTTGAACTCACAGAGATCCGCCTGCCTCTGCCTCCCAAGTGCTAGGACTACAGGCATGTGCCACCATACCCCGGTACATGTAAACTTTTTTTTTTATCTTTTTGAGACAGGGTCTCCTTGTAGCCCCAGCTGTCCTGGAACTCACTATGTAGACCAGGCTGGCTTTGAACTCCCAGAGATCCACCTGCCTCTGCCTCCCAGGTGCTTGGATTAAAGGCATGTGCCACCACGCCCAGCTAGTAAACATTTTTTAAAGCTTGAAGATTGTTGGACTGGAGAGATGACTCCATGTTTAAGAGCACTGGCTGCTCTTCCAGAGGACCTGGGTTCAATTCCCAGGACCACATGGTGGCTAACAACTGTAACTCCAGTTCCAGGGGATCTGACACCCTCTTCTGGCCTCTGCAGGCTTTTAGTGACAACAGGTGCTCCTACCAACATGCAGGCAAAACATACACATAAAAATTAAAAAACCTTGAAGATTGTTGAGCTGAAGATCAGTAAGCTCAATTGGTAAAATACTTGCCTTGCAAACATGAGGACCTCAGTTGGATGCCCAGAACCCACAGTGATGCACTTGTAATCCTAAGGATATAGGTGAATCGCCAGGGCTGGTAAGCCAGCCTAGCTACTTAGAAAGTTCCAGGCCAGTGAGAGACCCTGTCTTAAAAACAAAACAAAACAAGGTGGTGGAGAGATGGCTTAGTGATTAAGAGCACTGGCTACTCTTTCAGAGGGCCTGGTTTTGATCCCCAGGACCCACATGGCGGCTAACATCCATAACTCCAGTTCCAAGGGAATCTAACAGCCTCTTCTGACATCTGTGGGCATTGCACGACATGGGCGCACTTACATCCAGGTAGACAATACACTCATAAAAATAATAAAATATATTTTTTAAATGATGATGCTAAATAGTGCCACACAGCTTTAATCCCAGCACTCAGGAGGCAGAGGCAGGAAGATCTTTGAGATGGAGGCCAGCTTGGTCTACAAAGCGAGTTCTAGGCCATACGGGGCTACAGGGAGACCCTGACTCAAAACACAAGGTAACATACACTCACACAAACAGAACCCTCTACACGTGCACATACAGTTGTAAAGCTCCTAAGGAACACCACTTGAGGTCTTGTGACATGGACATGCACACGTGCACCAGCAAGTACAAAGCTGTTGAGCCTGACTGGCAAACACTGATCTTACAAAGTAAGTGTTCTAGGAGGAAAAATGGAAAGTTCACAGTGTGTCAGGGATGTTAGGCTTTGTGTGTCTTAATCATTCTATGTAGATCCAGAAGTTAAGATTGGATTTTCCTTCTGGGTATGGTGGCTCAATACCTGTAATTTCAGCACTTGTAGCAGAGCCAGACGTGACATCTTGGGGATAAGAAATGGAAAGCTTGTTTAATAGTGATGTTTGTGTGTCAACTTGACAAGGGGTCGGTTGTGCTGGATAGCTTCAGTTGTCAGCTTGACACACCTGGCTAAAGGGAGCCTCAGTTGAGGAATTCCTCCATTGGACTGGCCTGTGGCCATATCTGTGGAGCATTTTCTTGATTGTTGAGTGATGTGGGAGAGCCCAGCTCACTGTGGGTGGTGCCACCCCTGGGCAGGTGGTCCTGTATTGTATAAAAAAGCTGACTGAGCACAGGCCAAGGGAGCAAGCTGGTAAGCAGCGTTTCTCCATGGCCTGGGCTTCAGTTTCTGCCTCCATGTTCCTGCTTGAGCTCCTGCCTTGACTTCCCTTGATGATAGACTATGAGCTCTAAGTTAAATAAACCCTTTCTTCTCCAAGTTGGTTTTGGTCAGTGCTTTTATCTGCCCCCTCCCCTATGCTTACTTTGATGTGTTGTCTCTGTGTTGACATCTTTTGTCTCAGATTTTATGTTGGTTCTGGGATCCAAACTCAGGTCCTCATGCTTGCGTGGCTTTACCACTACACTGTCTTCCCCAGCTAGAAGCTGTCTGTGATGTAATTCCCTTTATTTTTGTTGCCTGTGCTTTTGCTGTCATATGCGTGAAGTCCTTGCCAGAACTTGTATCATGAAAGATTTCCCTGGTGTTTTCTTTTAAGGGTTTTATGATTTAAGATTCTTGTTTGTTTCTTTGACACAGGACCTGATACTTGCTATGTAGCCCAAGATGGCCTTAAATTTGGAGCAGTCCTGAGTTTGCCTCCCGAGTGTTGAGATTACAGGCATGCTCACCATACCCAATCTGTTTGAGGTATATTTCTAAATATTTTTTTAGATCAAAAAACAAAGGGAAGGGCTGGAGAGATATCTCAGAGGTTAAAAGTCCTTGCTGTTCTTCCAGAGGATATTGGTTTGGTTCCCAGCACTGGTGGCTAACTCCACTTCCAGGGAATTCAACAGACACTGTCTTGCATATGATGCACTTAATCCATGTAGGCAAAACACTCATACACATAAAATAGAAATTTAAAATAAAATTTTTTTAAAGGGAAGCTATGTGTAATGGTACGTAGCTATAATCTCAGCACTTGGGAGGATAAATAGCAAAATCTTATCTAAAAAACAATAACGGGGCTGGAGAAAATAGCGCAGTGGTTATGAACACTAACTGTTCTTGAGGAAGACCCAGGTTCGAATCCCAGCACCCACATGGCAGCTAACAACTGTCCGGAACTCCAGTTCCAGGGGATCTGACAGTCTCTTCTGTCCTCCTCCGGCATTGCACAGCATGGGTGCATTTACCTACATGGAGGCAATACACGCATACACATAAAATAATAAATAAAATATAAAAAAAACAATAACAACAAAATCCAAACAAGCCAGCAGATAAAATCATCTGATAAATAAGCCCGATGACCTGAATCGATCCCCAGAACCCACAACAGAAGGAGTGATCCAAATTCTGAAAATTCTCTCCGGAACTTTCTGCTCTATGCCCAGCATGGCATGTGTATACGCGAGCACTCACACACAATTACACACATAGTAATCACACAAAATAATTTTTAAAATTTAAAACAAGGGAGGAGTTTACAGATTCCTGGCTGTTGTTTAGAATCTGATTTGAGAATGGGAATTGGGTGACCTGAATTTGAATTTCAACTTTCTCAAGTAACTTTGATAGATAGTTCTGGAAATAACTGGGAAACTTAGATGAGGTGGGAGGTTCACTGCTTTACAATTGAAGACAGAGTTCTCTTTGGCCATGGTGAGTGTGTAGTGGCAAAATGCTCACCCTGAGGAAAATGCCTAACAGGAGTGCCTTAATGGGTTTTAGCATCGGTGCCTCCCTGTGACACTGGAGGCCACACACAAGTGAAATGGAGAGTGAGCAGGTCCCTTGCTAGCCTCTATGCTGCACTGCTGCCTGAGTTGGAAGATGCCTTACTTTGTGTTGTGTGTGCAAGTGCTTTTTCAGACACTAAGCTGAATGGGAATCAAAGTTTAATCTTAGACTGAGTCTGTAATACTGCTGGCAAGGACTTTTAGCCATGGCATTAACATTGAGGGGTTTCTTCTGGTAGTTTGGGTTAACTGGGAGACTTGAATACAGCCTTCCTATGACCACTCTTGAATCACCAGGCTTTGTTTTCTTTATTTTAATTTTGTTGTGGTCCTTGTAATCTAACCCAGGGCCTCACACAGTTACCACTGGGTTCCACCTCCAGCTCCTATTATTTGCTTGTGTGTGTGTGTGTGTGTGTGTGTGTGTGTGTACATACATGTGCCCATGAGTTCCTTTTATTTTTATTTCTTTGAGATGGGTTTCATGTAGCCCCGGCTGGCCTTGAATTCAGTATGTAGCTGAGGATAACTGAAGGTTATTTATTTATTTTTTGGTCTTTTTGAGACAGGGTCTCCCTGTAGCCCCAGCTGTCCTGGAACTCACTCTGTAGACCAGGCTGGCCTTGAACTCACAGAGATCTGCCTGCCTCTGCCTCCCGAGTGCTGGGATTAAAGGTGTGGATAACTGAAGTTTTGGTCCTCTTTTACCTCCTGAATGCTGGAATTGCAAATGTATGCCGCCATGCCTGGTTATTTGGTACTGGGAATTGAACCCGGGCTTTGTGCATGCTAGGCAAGCACTCTTGCAGTTGAGTTACATGATCAGCCCCTTGAGTCTCTCTTTTCTTTTCATCTTAAAGATTTAAAGACAAAACAGAAACACCAACACATCAAAGCCATAGACCTTAAATGAGTGCCCTGAATTCCTACAGTTCACTAGCAGGCAACCAGTTGGGCCCTCAACCATGAAAGGCATGGATGTGAATGTGGAGATTTGTATAGAAGAAAGTTCTGCTGACTGGACCTGAGAACATAGTGCCCCTCGCTCAACCCCCAACTTCTCAGTAGTACAAAGGTGCATCAGCCCGTGATCTCAGATCTGAAGACGACTCAGGCAAG